GGTCATATTTCCTTTCTGTGGCCTTTGACATCTCGTTTCATCCAGAAATGACACTTTTTCGCCACGTGGTACTCTAAAAAAAAGCAATACAGTGGCACCACTCCTGATGGCGAGATTGAGGCACGACGTTTACCGGCTGCAATTCCCTTCATTTTAGCGACCACAATATTTATTTTTGTGAAAACCATGATAGATACGTAAACAGTGGGTGCCTGTGGACCCACTCTGACCATAAATAACACCATTTGTTGACTTGATATAAGGGGGGTTTTGAGCAGCTAGATTGGGGGTTTGACACACTGTGTGCCGCTTTCCTACTTCAGTGGCTCTATACGTATTTCTGTACTCCTCTCTTTCTGCTTTTAATGCAATTTACTAATACTGAACACCTTTTATACATTATAGTTGCTAAAATATAAAACATATAACAACTGTAATTTCCTTCTTTATTTTGATATCTTTGGGCAAGCAGTGCTTGCCTTGCTTATCCGGACCGCACGCCAGTGATTGACCGAGAATACGTGGATCCCACAATTTTCGAGTCTATACTCGATTCCATTTTTATAGGAAAAATGATCCCTTGTTAAAGTGAGGATGGCCTCCAAGATCTTGGACAATCTGAAGAAACCGGACAGGATAGAGGTGAGTGTGGAGTCGAATGTGATGGACCCGATGTTACATAACCCCCCTTAGGGTCCAGGCCCTCCCTCAACGACATGCATCACGATTATTTCACGTCGGAACCGGTCGCGAGAGAAATTTAGGGGGATTTTAGGAGGCTCCCGTCAGTGGAGTCTATCCCACGAAATATCAGAGGGGCTCGTTTGTCTCTCCAGAGAATCGGTCGTCTCTTTGCAGAAGCCGGCAGCAAAGCCTGTTTTCCTCGTTTCGCGAAGAACCCCGAACAGTCATAATGGGGAATGACTAAAATTACATACAATCTGATCAAATTTGGATAGGCGAATGTAATCGGAAATTTTAAGGGTCCGTAAGAGATCCTCCAACGATTTTCGAGATATGGGCCGTTTTAAGTGGGAAAATTAAGGTTTCGCTGCGGACGGACGACTGTGCGGCACCTCTTGTGCCCTTCTCTTCAAGTCGGATCCGGCGCACAGTGGGACGAAATGGGTAGAACCTCAGACATGGGGTGTTGTCATGTTTTTCATAGAAATGTGATGGAATGTCTTACTAAGGATCCATATTATATGAATCTAGTGTTGGTTTGATGATTTTTTCAAATGATTTTGCCCCCTGGAGTCGTGAAGTTGACTTTTTCTGTACCTAACGGCGGATTTCCCTCTGTTTTCTAGGGTCAGTTTCCATACCTGCCTCTTCGAGTGGATATAATTGACACAAATCTGAATGCTTGGATCTTATTCTAGAGTGTATGAAGAACATATTTCACTATTAAAAAGTTCAAGTGACTCAATCCTATACGTTGTAATGTCTGATCAAAGATGACCCCTCCGTAAATAAGAAAATAAAAGTTTGAATAGCCTTTTCCAAATTTCGCCACATTTCGACGTCCAATCGTGCATAAGGCGTGTTGCAGTGATCCCCCAGGATGAGGAATCCGTCGTTTTTGGCTGCGGCCATCTGCGGCTTTGAGAGTTACATCGATTTTTCTCCGAAAAAGTGAGGAGGGATTTCGCTGTTTCTCTACATCTTGCTGGATTATATTGGCATCTCAATACACTCAGTCGAGTTTTCATTTTAAAAATTGATGAACTTACAGTATTTTCATCGTAAAATGCAATTTTGACGTTACTTTTGCCCATTTTTGGGCCAAAATTCAGCATTTGATAGGATACCTCGCGATCGAGGCGGGGAAACAGAGCTGTAATTCCTTTTATCTTATATGATTGTTTGGCATTTTAAGGAGAGAATAAAAATGTTGAACGTTCTATCAATATCTGTGAATGAATTATTCCTCATAGCAAGGGTTGCCTCCCCTGACCACTTCGCAGCCCAACCTCCCGAAGCGCTTGGCGCTTCAGGCGTGATATAGATAAAATCCTATACGAAGCGTTGGAAGTATCCCAACTGATTCTGAGATATCGTAATTCGTGATATAAGATGGACCGATTTACCGTTGAATTTAATATCCTTCACAGTGTTGATCATTTAATTTTAAGTTTCGTTTGTAGGTATTGTGCCCGGAAATGGCTATGTATAAACATAAATTTCTGTTTAAAGTCTTAAGCCAAGGAAAACACCATGTACAATTGATATTTTTCTGTAAATATTTTAAATCATAGGTTCGAAATTGTTCCTTCGTAATTGTTCATTGGTTTCGGATGGTAACGGTAATACGATATTTTTTTCAAAATGGGCATAGAAATATGAGCATTCATTACATTGAGAGATTAAATAGTATCGATAAAAATAGCTACCTCTTGTCTTCCAATTCAGCAATTGAAAAATAAGTAACATTAAATTTTTATTACTCAAGTTGCAACATAATAGGTCAATCGGAGCAGATAAAATTTCTGCGTAAATTTTGTTCGTGCGTTTAGATGGATTTTGGAAAAAAATCCTTCAAAATCACGTATGTATGTGAAAGAAATAACCGAAATAAGCTCAAAAGTTGGTTCCAAGATGAAAGTATGATCGTGCATCAACGATTCAACGCGTATTTTTTCCCTATTAGAAGGAGTTAATTCTCTCTTCGAGTAACTTTTCTTTTCACGTATCTACTATAAGTTTTAAAATAAACGGAAGTAATATAATTCCGTCGACATACAAACAATTGTAATGTCAAAAATGAATTCTACGAGTACGTTCAAAATTCCACGATTGCAACAAGTTGCAACACGGATATCCGACAAGAATGAGCCGAATTTTCCTTTGAGCAACTTATATTTTTATGTTTTCGGCAAAAGTTTGAAAAACCCCAAAAATCGTGCATTTGCGTTAACATATCAAGAAAAGTAAGGTCAGAAATGAATTCTACGATCAAAATTCCACAAGCTTGTGAAGTTTCAACACAACATGCTCACAGGAACGAGTAACATTTATCCGTGAGTAGCTTATCTTTTCACGTTTCTGCTAAAACTTAGAAAGAACCCCTTAAATTATGTATTTCCGTAAATAACTCAAGAAGAGTAAGGTCAAAAATGATTTCTCCAATCGAAATAACATAAGATGCCCAAGTTCCATCACAAATGCCCATTGGAACAGTGGAACAGTCGAAACAAGTTTTGGAGCAAGGCGATGACGGGGCGTTCCTAGGCTTCGCTGCACCGTGCGGCGGCTCTCCGCTTTGCCGGCACCCGTAGTCGAGGCTCCGACTCCGACGCTCACGAGGCTTTCATATGTGCGAGTTAGTGACGCGGCTTATCAACGCATTGTGTTGGAGTTGACTGCTTGTTTTTTTTAGCTATTTTCCCGATAACTGGAAAAAGGAAAAAAAGGAGGAGATAGGAGCCGCCAAATGAACTGTGTTTCATGGTCTCCACATACCTGTATGTGATTATGTTCATTTTGTTCTCCACCGAAAAAAATAATATGCTGTTTTAGCATGTAGGATGTCAAAAATGTGTCTGGTGATCCCAAGATGCTGCCTTTACTGCCCCGCAGTTGAATTTGCATTCACAGGATGTACATTTAACTGCGGGGGCAGTAAAGGCAGCATCTTGGGATCACCAGACACATTTTTGACATCCTAGATGCTGAAACAGCATATTATTTTTTTCTATGTGGAAATGAACGAAGAAGGGATGTCAGGGTTTTTACAAAGGAATCCCACATATTCAAGGGAAAATTTATGGAGTCACTTATGCAAAAAGAAGGATGACGAATAGGAATAAGACAGTAATAGTGACACTGATGAGAATATATTCTTTACACGGGTGAATTGATAGTAAAAGTGGTACCGTCGGTGGGAATAAAGCAGAAATATACCCCGACCCCCTCCCACCTCTAACCTCAAACTTTCTCCGGAGGATCCGTAAACAGGGACGAATTCATTTTGGAAGACGAGTAGGACATGGTTGCAAGAGAAATTGATATTTGTGTCACTTTCTACGACCAAGGAGACGAAACCTTCAAGGTCACCGCAGTAGAATTTTTGGAACAGTGAAAAAGACAGTAGATTCCTAGGTATTTTGGTTGCATTTCACGATTGATATCCGCAGGAAAGCTGCAATTGTTTGTTGCTGTAAACATTTGTTTAGGTTAGGATGTGTTAATTAATCTTCTTATCAGTAAACAGGAATCATTATGAAACTTTACTTCCTCATCGTAACTTCTCTCGGTATATTCCTGATCGCCTCTTCGATTCTTGTCCAAGTTATAGAGTCGTAATGGAAATGTAAGTGGGTGAGCTGGCGGCAATTTTAAGCATTTTCCAGGTCCCGAATTCCGAGACTCGTGTGTGACGCCGGGTCACTTTTTAGATACATAATCCATTGTTTGCGATACATTGGTACCCGGCCATCCGGTGTAAACACAGGAGATATGAATCACCATGTAAATCGCACCGCCATTTTGGATCGAACATGCATCGAAAAAAGACCCGAGCTCGGCGCAAACCGGGCTCGGAACTCGTCGAGTAGAACATGGCGCCAGCTCTCCCATTTACATTACGACTCTATGTACTCTATGTTTTTTTCGGATGAAGTGAGGTAAGTAATTCGGTAACAATTTTTGCAACCTGCTCCGAGCACGTTGCAAGTGTTACGTATAAAATGATATGACAGCGATGCCATGTTGTCGAAAAAAAATTGCAAAATAAATGAGCCACGCCCGCTCATTTCCGGTAACACTTGATCAAAATATGAATGTCACACACTGATGGGAAACAGTTAGAATGGTTACGCCAAACAAAGTACGTCTATGTTGTGAGTAGAGCAGCATTGGGTGCTGTTTTCAGTTGCCGAAGAATCATTTTCCCGTTCCCTCTAGGTTGCATTGGCTTTGAATCAACGAGCCTGAAGTTAACGAACTGTGGAATGGTTTTGTTCGTAGGAAATGAGTGATAAAAATGATTTTAATCTTACCAGCGGTGGAAAAGTCAACTTCATCCATGGTGGATTAATTTCACGTGGTGGGTGGGTATTCTAAACTATGCCGGAAATGACTTTCCTCAGAAGAGTAATTGTCGACTCTTGAAGAAACAATGAAAGGAAAGAAACGACTCGGGAAAGCCTCTTGAGGCGACTGTCGAATAAGCACGATGGACAAGTTGCCTGGTAGCCACCTTAATTTCCAGTTCGCAGGGGGCTANCCCGGGGGTTGGGCCGCGCAGCGGCCAGGGGGCGGACCCCTTGGTGTGTGATAAAAATAAAGAAAACTTGTAAAAACGCATTGCGGCGTACCCTAAAAGCTACGGCATGAAGCGGGATTCGAACCCACGATCGTTGGAACAGAAGGCGAACACTCTACCACTCGGCCACGGAACTGTTGATAAGGATGGCCGGTCTGCAGCGCTGATAGGAAACGCGCTTCGTGCAGCTTGCCGGCGCTCAGTTGACTCGCCGGAACTCCGCGCGGAAACGTGCAAAAATCGTAACTTTAAAAATCGATATCTCGAGAACGGTTGGGAGTTGGCGGCTAAAAAAAAATACGTCAACCTTAGATTTGTCTCTTCTTCATGTACAAGCAAAATGAACCCAATCCCAGGATGTCACTTCGTAGACTCCCCTTGTGAGTACGGGTTGCATACTCTAGCCCCTGATTTATTGGAATGAAATATTTCACAGTCTCGTGAAATTTCATGAAATATTTCACTGAAATTTCCAATCTTTCATTTCTTTCATACATTTCATACCACCCTACGAGACGAAGTCAATGCGGGCACGCATGCAGGGCACGCTGTCAGTAATGCCAGCACCTTCTGACCTCATCGTCGGAATCAAGAACCCTTTTGACGGCCCTAATTTTAATTTAATGCGTGCCGATCGACAAAAACTAACATAGAAAGGGAAGTAATCAACTAAAGAATTGAATAGTGTGAGTTATAGTTACAGTGTGAGCATACTGTGATTATTTTCTGACTCTGAGTGGTAGTTGATATTACACAAAGTTGGTACTGTGCCGTGCAGCCCGCGCTGCTTAGTAAACCTACAATGCTAAATCAGTATACTCTCATTTTTGAACCTGTAGTATCAGTTGGTAATCTAGCAAAGATCGTAACCTAAATCAGCATTAAGGAATATTTGCAAGTGCAGCATGCATATGTGTGTACAAGAACACCTGTAATGGCTATTCTAGAATACCATACTGCAAAGTCAGCATTATATTCCTTACTAAATCAGCAGTCAACCAATATTTCTAGAACAGTATTTATTTTTTGTCTAAAACAGGTACTAATAATTCTGATTTAGTTTTTAACTTTGGCAATGCACGAAAACGCAAAAGTGCTAAATTACGAATATTTTACCTTCGTATTTTAGCAATCTATAATGGCTGCTTCAACAACGGGCGTGGTTAATTCAGTCACAAAATAAAATGTGAAATTACGAACACAATATTTCCTAATTGAGGATGGCTATTTTTTTCCGTGCATTTTTGACATCCTAGATGCTGAAACAGCATATTATTTTTTTCTGTGTGGAAATGAACGAAGAAGGGATGTCAGGGTTTTTACAAAGGAATCCCACATATTCAAGGGAAAATTTATGGAGTCACTTATGCAAACGGAAGTATGACGAATAGGAATAAGACAGTAATAGTGACACTGATGAGAATATATTCTTTACACGGGTGAATTGATAGTAAAAGTGGTACCGTCGGTGGGAATAAAGCAGAAATATACCCCACCCCCCTCCCACCTCTAACCTCAAACTTTCTCCGGAGGATCCGTAAACAGGGACGAATTCATTTTGGAAGACGAGTAGGACATGGTTGCAAGAGAAATTGATATTTGTGTCACTTTCTACGACCAAGGAGACGAAACCTTCAAGGTCACCGTAGTAGAATTTTTGGAACAGTGAAAAAGACAGTAGATTCCTAGGTATTTTGGTTGCATTTCACGATTGATATCCGCAGGAAAGCTGCAATTGTTTGTTGCTGTAAACATTTGTTTAGGTTAGGATGTGTTAATTAATCTTCTTATCAGTAAACAGGAATCATTATGAAACTTTACTTCCTCATCGTAACTTCTCTCGGTATATTCCTGATCGCCTCTTCGATTCTTGTCCAAGTTATAGAGTCGTAATGGAAATGTAAGTGGGTGAGCTGGCGGCAATTTTAAGCATTTTCCAGGTCCCGAATTCCGAGACTCGTGTGTGACGCCGGGTCACTTTTTAGATACATAATCCATTGTTTGCGATACATTGGTACCCGGTCATCCGGTGTAAACACAGGAGATATGAATCACCATGTAAATCGCACCGCCATTTTGGATCGAACATGCATCGAAAAAAGACCCGAGCTCGGCGCAAACCGGGCTCGGAACTCGTCGAGTAGAACATGGCGCCAGCTCTCCCATTTACATTACGACTCTATGTACTCTATGTTTTTTTCGGATGAAGTGAGGTAAGTAATTCGGTAACAATTTTTGCAACCTGCTCCGAGCAAGTTGCAAGTGTTACGTATAAAATGATATGACAGCGATGCCATGTTGTCGAAAAAAATGGCAAAATAAATGAGCCACGCCCGCTCATTTCCGGTAACACTTGATCAAAATATGAATGTCACACACTGATGGGAAACAGTTAGAATGGTTACGCCAAACAAAGTACGTCTATGTTGTGAGTAGAGCAGCATTGGGTGCTGTTTTCAGTTGCCGAAGAATCATTTTCCCGTTCCCTCTAGGTTGCATTGGCTTTGAATCAACGAGCCTGAAGTTAACGAACTGTGGAATGGTTTTGTTCGTAGGAAATGAGTGATAAAAATGATTTTAATCTTACCAGCGGTGGAAAAGTCAACTTCATCCATGGTGGATTAATTTCACGTGGTAGGTGGGTATTCTAAACTATGCCGGAAATGACTTTCCTCAGAAGAGTAATTGTCGACTCTTGAAGAAACAATGAAAGGAAAGAAACGACTCGGGAAAGCCTCTTGAGGCGACTGTCGAATAAGCACGATGGACAAGTTGCCTGGTAGCCACCTTAATTTCCAGTTCGCAGGGGGCTACTTGATTTCACACGAGTCGCTCCGGTCACATAAGGAGGGCGCGCCAACAGTGTTATTTCGACTCCTCCTTCCCGGAGGGACACAAAGGACGATCGTTGCCGCGCTGTGAGTCGGCGACGCAGTGGTGACGATCCGGTTTCATTCCGCCACCTTGATCGGCCGACGCGACGCACAGTGGAGTGTCCTTATGGCGCGTAGGGCAAAAATCATAGCTCGCAGACAAAAGCACACAGAGAGGTGAAATTTGGTATGAAAGGTCTTGAACATATAGACTATGGTTAGATGAGGTCAAATTTTGTTAATGACACTTTGTGACGGGAGGAGGGGGGCGGGAGTACTGATACTCGAAGGCGAGGGTTTGGGCGGGAGAGACGGAACTCATAGCTCAAAGACAGGAAGATATAGAAAATTGAAATTTCATATGAGACCTCCTATACATATGTGGTATTGTCGGATGGGGTCAAAATTTCATAATGACGCTTGTGGCGCGGTGAGGGGGGCGGATGCAGTGATACTTGAAGACGTGCGTTTGGGCGGTAGGAACAAACATGTTAGTCCGAAGTTGGCAGCACATACAGAAGTGAAATTTGGGTGCGACCTCTTCTACCGATAGGCCATCGTTAGATGAGGTCAAATTTTTTAAAAGACACTTCCGGCGGGGAGGGGTGGAGCGGTCGCAAAGTTACTAAATAGTGAGGGTTCGGGCGGTAGGAACCGAAGTCGTAGCTCAAAGACGGATGGACAGAGAGATGGAAAATTTGACATGAGACGTCGTATTCATACAGTCTTTCGTTACATGGGATTAAATTCTTGAAACAGCACCTGGAGGGGAGGGAGGGCTGTATCAATTATGGTGACATCGATTTTGGTCGGAAAAAGACGGTCACGGCACATTCGCCATGATTTGATCTCAAATTACTGGTTAACAACAGGACCTGTTACGTTTACCCAGATTAAACAATTTTAACACGTATTATATTTTTTTTTTAAATTTTTGTGTGAGAAAAAAATCGCAAGAAGAAAACATGCTCAAGCACTGTGATTATCCAAGGGAAAATCGGCTATCCCGAAACATTTGGCGGACAACGCGGAAAGACGGATAGAATTTTTGGGGGGAGGGGGGGGGTATGTATTAGAGTATATTGCATAGAATGAACATCATGTCTAATAACCTCATGTGTATGGAACTTTTTTTTTGTTGCTCGGAAAGGAATCATGAAGTTCGCCTGAAACAGAGACCGCATCATGGAGTTCAACGAGTATACCCGATTCCGGACTTGTCGTCACAAAACCGCCGATTGTGACAATGTGACAATTTGTAGCTGGAAGCTAAACAGTTTCTGAATCTGGAGGGTATTGTGAACAACATATCCAAAAATTACGTTGATATATTCGGATTTTTTTTTTTTAATCTATGTTTAATGACATGATCATAAGCCAATATGCCGCTAATTGAGGACCTGAGCCCTGACTTGAGGTCACAAAAATGACGATTCCGTCGATTTGTGTCAGTTTGTTGATAAAAACTAAACATATTATGAATCAGAAAGGCATTCTGAACAACATATCAAAAAATTGCGTTGATATATTTTGATATATTCTTTTAATCTCTGTTTAAAGATATCATCACATCTCATTCATCGATCACGTGGTTGATTTCTGACATGAAAAGGCGGACGGCATATTTGTCGTTAAATTTGAGGTCCAATAGAGTAGAAATCAAATAGATTATGAATTTGAAACATCATTTTAACAACTTATCAAAAAACACGGCTGAACTCATGCAGGCACATAGACTCTCTTTGGATTCACGTATGGCTGTTATAAAAACAATCCAATATGCCGCTCAGTGGGAGCCTGAGCCCTGAGTTGAGGTAACAAAAATGACGATTCCGTCGATTTGTGGCAGTTTGTTGATAAAAACTAAACATATTGTGAATCAGAAAGGCATTCTGAAGAACATATCCAAAAATTGCGTTGATAAGTTTTGATATATTTTTTTAATCTACATTTGAAGATGCGTAACTGGAATAAATAGAATGTTCGGCATCATCAACGGAAGACCGGACCGAGAGGCCCTTAATGTAAGAATTTAAAATAACCATCATAGTTTTTGTAT